TCGTTTATGCTTCGAAAACACCAACTGTGTCCAATCGGACAGAACAGGGAAGCTCTTCCAGCCGACATCAGCAAACCTGCTTTCACTGCGGTTTAACTGGGAGTTTGGATTCCACCTAAATAAACTCTTGAAAGGTTGATGGATGGGTTTTTGCTAATTGGTTGAGGATTGTGTGTTTGTTTGACACCGGTGTCGGTCTCCGCGGGTGTGTGTGTGTGACTTCCAGGAATTGTTCTGGCTTGAAGACCCAGTCAGCGGGTTCTGAACCCAGTCTGGCGCTCGTAGCCAGCGGTTCAGAGGTCAGCCAGGTCTAAATGTGGATTTATTCTCTCTTGGAAATATGTCTTCCTATTTTCCATGGATTGTGACGCCTCGGTCCTGCTGAAACCGGTCAGACATAAGCATTAGTGTGCACTTGGCCTCACAGTGGAGGAATCAAGCAGGAAATTTATCCATATTAATGAACTAATAATATTAATTATAAATCAATATGTTTTATATATTGTTAAAAAATGTAATGTAATAAAAGCAATATAATTATCACATTTAATGTTTATTAATTATGAGACAAGTTACTATTATTAAAATACTTAATTTAATATAATTATTTTTATTCATAGTAATTAAATATTAAGTAAGTTTTATATATACAGTACATATAAGACATTTATTTTAAATTAACAATATTATACAATTTATATTATACTGATAAACACATAAATTAGAAATGTCAATTAGAAATAAGAATGAATTATTTAATTCGTAAACATAAAAAATATTTTTAAAATATATATTTAATTAAATTCATATCAATGTGTATATATATATATATATAATTAAAATTAACAATATTATCACATTTTAATTTTACTGATAAATGTGATAAAATAAAGATTTTTAGCAATTGTAATACGTCATTAATCTTAATGAAAATAAATGAGAAATATCAATGACAAATTGATAATTAATTTTAAAGTTAATTAAATTATTAAATTATTAATTAAAATTAAATTATACTTAGTTTAATATTATTATTGTTATTATAATGATTAATTAGAATAAAATTTGTTTAGAAAGAAATATAATTAGAATTTATTATTATTATTATTATTTCACTCTTATACTGATAAACAAATAAATTAGAAATGTCACTTATAAATAAGACTTAATTAAATAAATTATTTAATTCATATTATCTCTTTTTTATTTTACTGATAAATATGATAAAATAAAGATTTTTAGCAATTGTAATAATTAGAATTTATTATTAGAAAATATAAACTACATTTAAAAATGGTTGTTCTAGTGGTAAATTTATATTATATGTGTGCTGTGTCTTATGATTGTGTTGTTAGCTTAGCAACATGCTAATGTCCAACTATTGGAATCATTGAATCAATAAAATTGCGTCTTCTGTTCTCTGTGAGGAAGAGTGTATATAATAAGTAATCAGCTTTCAGTGTCATGTGTTCATATTCTCCATGTTTTCCACAGACTCTCTCCTGGCTCAAAGACAGCGTTGCGATGGCCACTCAAATGTGCAGTTTGGTCGGACCGAACGGTTTTGACGCGGCCAAGAGACGCCAGGCTTCACTGGAGCAAGAGATCCTGTCCAACACAGCCAGGATAGAGCTGGTCAAGAAGGTGAGCGCAGTGTGTGTGTCAGTGATGGTCATGGATTATTGGCCAATAGTGAAAATATTAGCTTTTACACCGATTATCGTATCAGTATAGGGTTAGATTGACTATAGCATGAGGAGATGATGGAGCGCTCACAGGAAACGCTCAGTTGTCTTATTAGTAAGAGCGTTTGTTTCCGTCAGGAGGGTCACGGTCTGGTGAGGGCTCAGCATCCGGGCAGCGTCAAGATCCAGGAGTTTCTGAGTCAGCTGGAGGTCCTGTGGGACGAGCTGAAGAGAAGACATGAGAGGAACGGACTGGTCCTGAAGGTCTCAGAGGAACTCAACTGCAGGGTACAAATATCGTGTCTTTGAATGTTTGGAATGACATGCTGTCTGTTTTTGAATGAAAGTAGTATGCACTATTGGGTAACACTTGACATAATCCCGACATGACAAATGTTCTGAATATGAGGGAGGGTTTATGTATGTTTATGACAACTGTCGTTAAGTGTCATTCGCTCAATTATGACATTTTTAATGCAAATATGACATTGTTTGAGATGTCTTTATGACACCTTGACAAACCATAACATCATAACCTGTCAGTGTCTTTTGCAGTGGCGCAAAAAGTGGGTATATGCGGCGCATAGGGGCGCAGCACAATGGGGGGCGCCAAAGCGATGGTAAAAAAAAATAAAAAATTATATATACTATATTGTATTTCTATATGTAGCTGCCGTTGTGCGTTTCTAAATCATTTCTGCATTCCTTCAATGTTATATAAAATTTAAGAGGACTAACAGCCAGGCTAGAGTAGGCGCCCTCATGGAGAAGGGGGCGGGTAATATCGCGAGCGGGCGGGGGCGCCGTGAGCTCTGAGCGAGCAGGTACGAGTAGTTAGTTGTCGTCGAAAAAGATGGATAAAACAAAATGCTGTGGGGCTAAAAATAGAAAAAGAAAGAGAGAAAAGGAGATGGCATGTCAATTGATGCGACAGCAGCTAAATAACTGCATGCATTGCTGAAAGCCAACAGGTAGGATTTAAAATGTGACATCCAGAAATAGGCTATCTATATCTCTGTGGCCATCGGGACTACCGGGGGATTCCCGCTGGTCCGACGTGCTTTTCAGCCAATACATTTCATTTTATGTATTGGGGGGTAGGGCGCTGAAATTGTTGCTGCATACCCCTCTGAAACTGGGTAGTTGCGCCCCTGGTCTTTTGCAATGATTTAAAATGCAAAATGACCATATTTTGGCAAATGTATGCAGTATGTACGTATATCCCTTCAGTTTGAAGTTTAAAATCAGTGTAACCTGTGTGGAATATTGTATCACACAAAACAATACAGCATAAGTGTGCTCTGCCTTATGAGTGTTTTATGAAAAGATTCGATCGTATCATCTCGTATAGTGTGTCGTAGTGGGCGACAACCTACGATGCTTCACGGCTTCACGACAAAAAGACTAGCATGTTTCATTTTTGTAACGGTCGTCCACGACGGTTCCGTCACATGTATGAGGTTGACCAATAGGAGCACAGGAGCTTTTCCGTACACAACTGTCAAAAATGGCGAAACGAAAGAGACGATGGTGCTAACGTTAAAACTAAAAATAAAAATATATAAGAAAACAATATTTTACCTCAAGTTCTCTTTGGAGGATTGACAGCCCATACTGTCCTCTTCGAGCAATCCAGGAACGCGTCCATTGTCGGGTTTTCTTTATTTTTTGACTTTACACGGGACAGCCAATATAACACTCACTGCTTCGACCACTGCTTCATCCATTGTTGGTGTACGTTCGTTTCCGGAAGTCACCCACTACTAGTTTCGCCTTCTCGATGACATCACGCGTGCTGTTAAAGATGGCATGTGATGACTGATCAAGGAAGCAACGTGTAGTCTGATTTTAGGAGTCAAAATCGCGTAATCTGACACACTTTAAAATATCGGTTATCGATCTTTCAAATATCGGTTATTGCCTTTTAAATATCGGTTATCGACCTTTCAAATATCAGTTATCGACTTTCAAATATCGGTTATCGACTTTCAAACATCGGTTATCGACTTTCAAATATCGGTTATCGACTTTCAAACATCGGTTATCGGCTTTCAAACATCGGTTATCGACTTTCAAACATCGGTTATCGACTTTCAAACATCGGTTATCGGCTTTCAAATATCGGTTATCGACTTTCAAACATCGGTTATCGGCTTTCAAACATCGGTTATCGACTTTGAAACATCGGTTATCGACTCGCAAATATCTGTTATCGACTCTCAAATATCGGTTATCGACTCTCAAATATCGGTTATCGACTTTCAAACATCGGTTATCGACTTTCAAATATCGGTTAACGACTTTCAAACATCGGTTATCGACTTTCAAACGACGGTTATCGACTTTCAAATATGGGTTATCGACTTTCAAACATCGGTTATCGACTTTCAAACGTCGGTTATCGACTTTCAAACATCGGTTATCGACTTTCAAATATCGGCTATCGTCTTTCAAATATCATTTATCAACTTTCAAATATCGGTTATCGACTTTCAAACATCGGGTATCGACTCTCAAATATCGGTTATCGACTTTCAAATATCGGTTATCAACTTTCAAATATCGGTTATCGACTTTCAAACATCAGTTATCGACTTTCAAACATCGGTTATCGACTTTCAAATATCGGTTATCGACTTTCAAACATCGGTTATCGACTTTCAAACATCAGTTATCGACTTTCAAACATCGGTTATCGACTTTCAAATATCGGTTATCGACTTTCAAATATCAGTTATGGACTTTCAAACATCGGTTATCGACTTTCAAACATCGGTTATCGACTTTCAAATATCGGTTATCGACTTTCAAATATCAGTTATGGACTTTCAAACATCGGTTTTCGACTTTCCAATATCGTTATGGACTTTCAAATATCGGTTATGGACTTTCAAACATCAGTTATCGACTTTCAAACATCGGTTATCGACTTTCCAATATCGTTATGGACTTTCAAATATCGGTTATGGACTTTCAAACATCGGTTATCGACTTTCAAACATCGGTTATCGACCACTGCTTCATTCATTGTTGGTTTACGTTCGTTTCCGGAAGTCACTTGCTACTAGTTTTGCCTTCTGACATCACGCTTGCTGTTAAAGATGGCATGTGATGACTGATCAAGGAAGCAACGTGTAGTCTGATTTTAGGAGTCAAATTCACGTAATTTGACAAAAAAAAAATAGTGTGATCTGAACCAGGCATAAAGTTGGTTTTAAATGGTGTGTATTGTGAAACACGCTATACAAAGGAATTTGAATTATTGGTTGTGTTGGTCAGGTGGTGCGGATGCTGCAGGCGTTGGCCAGTCTGGAGGCCTGGTTAGAGGCGGTGGAGCTGTCCATCACACAGGCGTCTCTGGCTGGAGACCCCGAGTCTGTGAGCGTGGCAGAGCAAGAGACCGGTCAGCTGGAGCAGGAGCTGGAGGCCCGAGGACTGGAGCTGCACAACCTCAGGCATGAAGTCCATCATCTGAGCAAACAGAGACATCTTCACTCTCAGCTGCTTCCAGCTCGACTGAAGGACGTGGAGAAGAAGTATGTGCTGTCAGTCCAGGACACATGTTGCTTACTCTGGTTCTGATACTCCATTCTGTCCATTTTATCATGAAATTCAAACAATAAATGCCATTAAATGTGACGTGACAGATCGCCGTAGTGCCGGCAGCGCAAGTCTTTTCTTTCACTTTCATACAAGTTATAAAATTAGAATATCGTGCAAAAGTTCATTTATTTCAGTAATTCCACTTAAAAGGTGAAACTAATATATTATATAGACTCATTACATGCAAAGTGAGATATTTCAAGCCTTTATTTGTTATAATTTTGATGATTATGGCATGAAAACCTTTTCACAATATTCTAATTTTGAATTTGGGGTTTTCATAAGCTGTAAGCCATAATCATCAATATTATAACAAATAAAGGCTCTAAATATCTCACTTTGCATGTAATGAGTCTATATAATATATTAGTTTCACCTTTTAAGTTGTATTACTGAAATAAATGAACTCTTGCACAATATTCTAATTATTCGAGTTTCAGCTGTATATGGAAAAACACGCATGAATATCAGTATTTCTTTCAGGTTCAGCAGTGTGCAAATGGCACTGACCCAACAGAGCTCCGAGCTGAAGGACACGCGGATGCTCACCGAGTTCCTGGAGAAGGTGGAGCTTGAGGAAAGTCACTACAGCACCGTGGGACAGGTTCGAGTTTTTCCCAATTCACGTACACTTGTGCAATTGGCAGACGCTTTTATCCAAAGCGACTAGGAATCAAACCCATTACCTTCCCATTGAAAAATAATTTTTCGGCCACCTATCGGAAGCGATAAATCTACAAAACTTCATTTTTAATATTATTGTTATCGGCCACATACAAAAATTATTTGGCCAATATATTAAAGCCGATAAATAATGGATTATTTCCTTCAGCTGAGACACTTCAGATGTTCGCCATGATGGATTTGAATTGCTTGAAATATGATTGGAAGCCTATCATATAGGCTACGTAAAATGATGAGTTATACTACTTATAATTGTAATCAGGCTATCAAAAATTCTATAAAAATTTGTATTTAGATCAATCAGCGGTTATTGCCTTTTAAATATCGGTTATCGAACTTTCAAATATAGGTTATTGCCTTTTAAATATCGGCTATCGACCTTTCAAATATCGGTTATTGACTTTCAAATATCGGTTATCGACCTTTCGAATATCGGTTATCGACTTTCAAATATCGGTTATCGACTTTCAAATATCGGTTATTGACTTTCAAATATCGGTTATTGACTTTCAAACATCGGTTATCGACTTTCAAACATCGGTTATCGACTTTCAAACATCGGTTATCGACTTTCAAATATCGGTTATCGACTTTCAAATATCGGTTATCGACTTTCAAACATCGGTCATCGACTCTCAAATATCAGTTATCGACTTTCAAACATCGGTTATCGGCTTTCAAACATCGGTTATCGACTTTCAAACATCGGTTATCGGCTTTCAAATATCGGTTATCGACTTTCAAACATCGGTTATCGCTTTCAAACATCGGTTATCGACTTTCAAACATCGGTTATCGACTTTGAAACATCGGTTATCGACTTTCAAATATCGGTTATCGACTTTCAAACATCGGTCATCGACTTTCAAATATCGGGTATCGACTTTCAAACATCGGTCATCGACTCTCAAATATCGGTTATCGACTTTCAAACATCGGTTATCGACTTTCAAACATCGGTTATCGACTTTCAAATATTGGTTATCGACTTTCAAATATCGTTATCGACTTTCAAACGTCGGTTATCGACTTTCAAACATCGGTTATCGACTTTCAAACGTCGTTATCGACTTTCAAACATCGGTTATCAACTTTCAAACATCGGTTATCGACTTTCAAATATCAGCAATCGACTTTCAAATATCGGTTATCGACTTTCAAACATCGGTTATCGACTTTCAAACATCGGTTATCGACTTTCAAACATCGGTCATCGACTCTCAAATATCGTCATCGACTTTCAAACATTGGTTATCGACTTTCAAACATCGGTTATCGACTTTCAAATATTGGTTATCGACTTTCAAATATCGGTTATCGACTTTCAAACATCGGTTATCGACTTTCAAACATCGGTTATCGACTTTCAAACGTCGGTTATCGACTTTCAAACATCGGTTATCAACTTTCAAACGTCGGTTATCGACTTTCAAATATCGGTTTTTGACTTTCAAACATCGGTTATCGACTTTCAAACATCGGTTATCGACTTTCAAACATCGGTTATCGACTTTCAAACATCGGTTATCGACTTTCAAACATCGGTTATCGACTTTCAAACATCGGTTATCGACTTTCAAACATCGGTTATCGGCTTTCAAACATCGGTTATCGGCTTTCAAACATCGGTTATCGGCTTTCAAACATCGGGTATCGACTTTCAAACATCGGTTATCGGCTTTCAAACATCGGTTATCGACTTTCAAACATCGGTTATCGACTTTCAAACATCAGTAATCGACTTTCAAATATCGGTTATCGACTTTCAAATATCGGTTTTTGACTTTCAAACATCGGTTATCGACTTTCAAACATCGGTTATCGACTTTCAAACATCGGTTATCGGCTTTCAAACATCGGTTATCGACTTTCAAACATCGGTTATCGACTTTCAAATATCGGTTATCGACTTTCAAATATCGGTTTTTGACTTTCAAACATCGGTTATCGACTTTCAAACATCGGTTATCGACTTTCAAACATCGGTTATCGGCTTTCAAACATCGGTTATCGGCTTTCAAACATCGGTTATCGGCTTTCAAACATCGGTTATCGACTTTCAAACATCGGTTATCGACTTTCAAACATCAGTAATCGACTTTCAAATATCGGTTATTGACTTTCAAATATCGGTTATATGAAATTTCCTAGCTGTTCCAGCAGAAGTCTTATTCTTTATCCTCCTGTTCTCCTGCAGCCGCTGTGCAGTGAACTGGACTCTGGGCCGTCTCTTCTGGGTTTACAGGGGAACGAACATGATGAGCCCCTGATGGAAGCCTTCGGAAACCCTGTAAAGGAGCTCAGAGAAGCCGTGGAGATGCTCAATGATACAGCGCGAGAGCGGGGCCGTTCGCAGTCACATGACCAGAGCATCCAGGAACTGCTCACCAGGGTGTGTAGAATCGGGAATCAATTATATCAGATCAACTTTTTAATGTTTGTGTTTAGGCAGACCTGGCATTTTGCACAAGCATAAGCGTTTATTCTTCACGGTACTTTTCATCTCCTCCTCGTTTCCCAGCATGCCATGGTGTGTGTGCGCGTGGAGCAGTGTGTGCAGCGCTGTGCTGAACTGGCCATAGATGTGCTAGAGATGGAGAGTGAGATGGCTGTGAGGTGTGAGCCGGATCGATGTGGTCTGGATGTCCTGCAGGAGTACCAGGACCAGCTGGAGGTACGGCGACTCTGAACATTAATGCAGGACTTCCAGAGAAACATGTTGCAAAGTAAAAGAGTTTAGGGGAAATCTCACTAGTAGTGGGAAGTTCAGATCATTTTACTGATTCGGATCTTTGAGTCTCGTTCAGCAAATTGAACGAATCTTTTTTCGAGTCATTTCGTTCATTTTTGCCTCATATTCTTTTTCCTGTAATGCAAAAAAAAAAATAATAATAATAATCTGCCACTCATTTATCATTTTTTACTTAATGCAAAATAATACTATACAGTTTAATTTTAAATTTTCAAATTTTTCTTTTAATTTCAATCATTTTATCCCTTAAAACTCACATTTGAACACCAAAATGACATTTGATGATATTTATGCGTTTTTTCCTTAACAAAATTCTTAAATCTACACCTTTGCCTCGTTTAGTATACGCAGTTCTATGAATATGCAAATGATCCCCGCCTCCACTCACTCACTCAGCTCAGAGATCCACTGGTTGGCGATCACATGTTGATCTGATTGGTTACAAGGTAGTGTGTGACGTTGGTTCACTGCAGTTTTAAACAGAAAATACTCAGCAATGCTGTCCACTCATGAATTTACACATGGTTTGTCTTAAAGCATATTAAAAACACTATATAGACACATAAACAACATTAAAAGCTTGATTTACACCACAGGGGGACGTTAAATAAAAAAAAAAACACTTTTTTATACTAATATATACTTATATCAAATCGTGATGGCATTAAAAATATTTTTATACTTGTGTGTATATATATATATATATATATACTGTATATATATATATATATATATATATATATATACTTTTTTATACTTAAAAAAATTGTACTCAATTATCATGAAAATTATCATCTTTTAGATTTATTATTTCTATTATTATTATCACAATGGCATTGAGTTGAAATTGTATTATGTGAGACCAAATAGACTATGGGTGATATGAGACATGGAACTTGCATAGAGTTAATAACACAGTTTAGTATCGTCATACACAAATATAAATTATATTATTATAAAAATATTATTACATCACGATGAAAAAAAAAATGATCTTAAAAATTGAGCTGTTTTATTCATGCATATTTTTGTGGTGAAATGTGACCTGAATATGTCTTCGTGTCAGAGATTCACCTTTTTGTGGTGCTGTTTATTTTTCGACAAAAATCATTCCAGACAGCAACCAAGTGTTTTTGCCAAACCATAACACACCGAAAGCACTTACAACCGAACGCGCTCTTGAGAACAGGAAGCATCTTGTTTACCGGGACTCGGTGACCTCGCAGTGTGTTAATCGGATGGAAATGGCTTTCTCCCTTTTGTTTTAGCACATTGTTTCTAGAATCTGTTTCCTGTTGTGGTTGAAGTTTGACATGCACTCAGACCCTTGCTTCGTTCAATAGATGTTAATGAAGTCAGTGAGCCCACACATGACTTCATTATCCACACTGGACTCCATTGTGTGAGTGTTTTGGCATTTATGATGTGCATTTGTATGTGTCAGTGGATTCATTTGTGACTGCATTGTGCATTGTGGGGTGCTTTTCAATGCAACCTCAATAGTGTGCATAGCACAAACACACACATCTGTCTGGAAGCCCCAAAGCGCAAGAAATGACCTAATGGCTCATCCTAAAATAGTTTGACGCTCATGCATAAGGCATCTGACAATCTCTGTTTTGCAGGCGCAGATCTGAAACACTTGATTCTTATTAAGCCTTTAATTACATTCAGAAACACTGTCAGGGATGCCAGCATTGCATATGTAAAGCATATGGTTCCTTTTAGGGTTTATACTGCCTAAATAGCACAGGTTGAATAGCATTCTGAACTCACACACGGGGGTCTTTTCTGTCTCCAGGCTGAATACGGGCTCTTAAAGGAGGAGGTCGAGGCCATGACGAGTCTGGCGAGCCGTTTGTCAGATGTTTGTCCGGAAAGGATGAACGCTGTAGGATCTGAGATTCAGAACACTCTTCATTCCTGGGAAGAGCTCGGCAAAAGTGTGTCTGAAAACAAGGAGAGACTCCTGCAGTTTGGGCACCTGCGCCATTTCTTCAGGAACTACCTGGCTATGATGTAAGGAAACAATAAAACTATTAAACAAGATTTACCTCACAGGAACATGTCCAGGTCATAATTCACCCCAGAATCACCATCCATCAAGACCATCAAGCTGTCGGTGTAACTGCATCTAAATGCCACTTCAGATGCAACTTCTGAAAAACAGAATAAAATGCTATGGCCACATTGTAGTCTTAAAGGAGTATAATTTACTCGCCCCCATGTCATCCAAGATGTCCATGTCTTTCTTTCTTCAGTTGAACAGAAATTAAGGTTTTTGATGAAAACATTCCAGGATTTTTCTCCATATAATGGACTTCAATGGGGTCCAAACGGTTCAAAAGGTCCAAATGAGGGTTTCAGTGCAGCTTCAAAGGGCTTTAAACGACACCAGACGATAAGGGTCTTATCAAGCAAAACCATCGGTCATTTCAAATAAATGAAGAGCCACGAACGCGCATCACAGAGGCGCAAGGCGAGCATTTGTGCTTATAAAATTTAAACTTTTTAATTTATTTTTTAAATGACCGATCGTTTCGCTAGATAAGACCCTTATTCATCGTCTGGTGTCGTTTAAAGCTCTTTGAAGCTGCACTGAAACTGTCTTTTGGACCTTGAACCGTTTGGTCCCCATTGAAGTCCATTATATGGAGAAAATCCTGGAATGTTTTCATGAAAAACCTTAATTTCTTTTCGACCGAAGAAAGAAAGACATGGACATCTTGGATGACATGGATGAAGTGAACGACTCCTTTAAGTTTATATTTAATAAATTCTATGTTGAATCCAAATATTTCTTTATAAAGCTACTTTGTGTAATGTATATTCAATGCTTTTCTCATCTAACACAATAGTCACTTTAAATGATCTTTTGGCTGTAGTTTCTCAGCCAAAATTAAGGAGCGATTAATTTGTGATTAATTAATCAGCGTATCATGTAATTAATTAGATTTAGAAAAATGGCTTGACAGCCCTAGTATTTAATATATATGCATAATTTTAGTATTTACAAAGAAAAATATATGCAACACATCATTTTTGATTTTGGGGTGAAATGTGACCTGGACATGTTTTTGTGCGATTCACCAGGAATGTTCTCTAAGATTTGTTTTATTAAAATGTTTTATTTATTAATGGGAAATGCCTGTTCACATTGTGTTCTCTTCATGCATTGGAGAGAGGTCTGGTAAGCATCATCTTGAGCTGTGTGTGTTGGCCTCTCGTGTTCATGCTGTTCATCTTCTCTCCCACAGCTCTTGGACAGAAGACACCCGCTCCTGCATTTTCTCAGAAAGCGCTCTGCGTCAGAGCCGAGAGAACCAGGAGCCTCTGGTCGAGGTTCTGGATCGGCAGATCGAACAGAAGTTTGAGGAGTTTGATCAGCTCACCGTGGCTGGAGAAAAACTCTTTGGCGCTGAGCATCACCTTAACAAAATGGTAGAGTATGATTTGTATAAATAAAAGAGATATTACAAATAAAGTTGTTGTATTGTACCGTTCTTTGAGCTCTACTAGAATAGGTTTTCATGATTGAATGATTAAAAAACACATTATTTTCCTCATATTCTCCATTGTTGCGGCTCCTCTCTTCCCAGTCTGTCAGTAACGCTCTGTTTAGTTCCTGTCTCTATGAAGCCCCGCCTTCTGAAAAGCACAATGTGCTCTAATTCGTCGGCTGGAGCAGTGTGTTCTGATTGGTCAAGCGCTTTGAGTGTGTTTGGGAAATGTCCCGCTCGCGATATTTTTTTTTCACAGGATGGTACGGGAAGACTCATTAATATTCATTAGGAAACTCATCCCTGATTGGTCTGATGACCTACCTCTAACCCCGCCCCTAAACCTAACCGTCACTGGGGTTAAGACCAATCAGGGATGAGTTCCCTAATGAATATTGATGAGTCTTCCCCTACCATCCAGGGAAAAAAAAATATCGCGTCCCGCTCACCCCATAACCGCCATTTTCAACACACTATAACTAACTCAACCAGGCCCCGCCCCTTTATCCTGCGCATTAATTATTTAAATGAGGAATGTTGTGACGTGTTTAAGAAACTCAAGACTACAGTGGAGGCGTTTCAGGAGTTCAGAAACACTGACACTGATATAGAGAAGAACAACCTTCTTCAACATCACACACTCAAGAAAGATGAACATGTAAACAAAATAGCATAAATCCTCTTTAATATCGAATTTATAGCTCTACTCTTACTGTTTGACAACTCATTTACCGTATATCTCCTATGAGAGTACAACCAATAAAAGCTTCCTCTAGGATGACAGAAACAATGACAGAGCGTTTTTTCCCATCGCTCTTTGTCTTGTGATCAGATCAGAGAGAGGATGGAGGAGCTGAGGAGCATGCTGGGATGGATCCTGGTCCACTGGAGGGCTCAGAAGGATCAGCTGTTGAGCAGACAGAAGGTTGAAGACCCTCGGACAGATGCCATTTACTCTGAAGCCACGGTCTGCACCTCGCAAACACAGGTGATGGTGCTTCATTATCATAAAAATCAACTTAAAGGGCACTCACGTTAATCTTGAGCACCGATAGAGTAGTGCTGCATCCTTCATATCTCTGAAGAGTCTTTAGTTTGATCAGATTTATAAAAGACAGATATGTTGTACCGGTTCTTTCCGAAAACAGCCGAGCTTGTGGGCGGAGCTAAAGAGTCACGCACAATACATCATCGCATATACGTTTGTGTTGTTTTTTTTGTTTTGTTTTTTTAAATGCTTTATTTAAACATTCAGTTTACAGAGTAAAACAACACAACAACAACATAATAGCACAAAAAACGTTTGTGTTGTTTACAGTATAGACTCCTTTTGCACCGACGTCACAATTACGTCACAGCGTTAGCTGGAGGCAAAACAAACGGACGGAGGCGGCTAATACAAACCAGCACAGATTCGGCTACATAATGAGATTAAATTATTATTATTAAATGTCATCTTGTTGTGTTGTTGGGTGCAAGAATCAATGAAAAATGAATGGAAGTTTTATTTCTAGAATATAATGACATCATTAAAATTGCACCGTAATGTCACTCTTTTACACTGTCGTCTTCTTTGCGCTGGCTCGACAGAACTGCGGATCGTACACACAAGTCTTATACAGCACGTCTAAAGATTTATATGCCCTCAGTTTCTCTTTACGCTCGGTCTCTCTATCGGATAGTAGAAGTCACGCCACTCAACCGGAATTAGCGTTAAAAGGATACTCCACTTGTTTTGGAAATAGGCTCATTTTACAACTCCCCCAGAGTTAAACATTTGGGTTTTACCGTTTTCTAATCCATTCAGCCGATTTTCTGATATTTAGACAGTTTCTGGTCCCATTGACTTCCATAGTAGGAAAAAAATATACTATGAAAGTCAATGAGACCAGAAACTGTCTGGTTACTGATATTCTTCTAAATATCAAAAAACGGTGGAGTATCCCTTTAACGTTAAACCTGTCAGATCGTCCATGCATTTAGTGAGCGTGTACGGGTCGGCCAATCTAAAATTAACTTTTGCTAATGACAATCGCGGCCATGGACACTGAGTGACCTTGCACATTAAGATAAAATCATATTTTCTCCAGTCATTGTTAAAAAACAAGCTAACAAAACTTGCAAACTAACGCTAGGGAAGTGGCTAGAGGGATCGTTCTGCCTCCTAAGCTCCGCCCACAAAAAAACGTCACCGTGTTCACTAACCTAAAAGGGGTCTATATGCACTGACGCGCCGGTTACCAACCAAACACAGACATTTTTTAGATAATTTAGCTATTTTAGCTAAATTTTAGCTTTTAGATATTTTAGCACTGGGAGCGCTCCATCTTTCAGTTTCAAACGATCTGCAAATGCAGTGTCAAACTGGGCTTGTTTATAAAACATTTGTCACCTAAATGCCAGGTTTTGGTTTCTACTGTCACCTTTTCCGCCTTTGTCGCCAATGGCTTTTGGCTTGCTTAGTATGAGAACTGAGCTAAGCCGGACAATGACATCACAGTTTTCTCTAGAGCGGCTGTATATATAAATGAACGAAATTAATAACTTTTTTTACAACAAAAATGAACCACTTACTTAAGCTAGACTGTGATGCTATTTTCTTGCATTATTTTCCTGTTATCTCAGTAATGCTGCTTTGGAAACCATCTGTATTGTAAAAAGCGCTATATAAATAAATAAAGGTGAAATACTCTGTCATACGTCCAACTCGGTTTTTTTAAATCTTTGGCATGAGAATCCAATAAGTCAGAGAGCATGAAATGGCATTAGACATTCCCTTTACTGGTCCCAAAATAAGATTTGTTTTATTTATTTTGCTTGAGAAATGTGATCTGGCAGATCCTTTACAGTCAGTTTTCATTAGATCGACCCTCATTAAGCGTGCGAATTCTGCCTTCTTTTAGGTGGAAACCTCAACCGAAGTGTCTCAGAACAAAATAGAAAGCCTCATTGGTGACATGGAGGATAGTTTGCAGCACAATTATGGATATGAGGTGATGAAGAGTGTCAGTCCTAAAGGAAGCGATGACAGCAGTCATTTAGAGAGTCCGGATTCACCGTACCTGGTTCTGGAGGAACCCAGTCCCACTGCTGTAGGAGGAACCGTCAACCTCATCCTCAGCTTCAGTAACTCTGGAGACACACAGATCCAGGTACAGGCACCTGGCAGGGAAAGTGGCGTGCCGGTGCCCGAGCCTGTGCACAGGGTGAGAATAATGCAAACGTACAATCACCCTACTGTCGATGACGCAATGCTCTAGTTTGTGTTCCCTTTTAAAGGGATAGTTCACTTTGAAATTCATTTTTGCTATGTTTTAGCTTTAGTTTTAGTGTCTACATTTTGTCTGTCAGTCATATAATGGAGGTCTATGGTCACCACCTCAAAGAGCATGCACAGAGAAGTCCAGATTAAACATGATTTAATGACTCGTAAATGTAAGTACACATTGATGGCCTAAGACACGAAACGAGCGGTTTGTGTGAGAGAACGAACAGTATTTATATCGTTTTTCCCTCTTGTAACCACAGCCACGTCCAAGTGATCTGAGGGCGCTGTCGCTTTGGTCTGTTTTTGTTTTTGTTTTGTTTTTTAAATAACGTTGTTTGTTGATACATCCTTGATATATTTCCTGTATATCTAAATATTTTTAGATTTTCACAGTGAAGGATAACACTTCTGAAATAAACAATGAGTGACATACACGCGTGAGAGAGATCACTTCCGGCGCTTGCGCAGACCGGCTGTGGTTACAAGAGGTAAAAACGATATAAATACTGTTGGTTTTCTCTCACAAACCGCTTGTTTCGTGTCTTAGGCCATCAATGTGTACTTACATTTACGAGTCATTAAATCATGTTTAATTTGGGTTTCTCTGTGCATGCTCTTTGAGGTGGTGACCATAGACCTCCATTATATGACTGACAGACAAGAACGGTTTGACCTAAAAATATCGAAATTGAAACTACTGCAGAAACAAAGACGCCAAAAATTAATTTCAAAGTGAAATACCCCTTTAAGGTCCTTGCAAACTTTCGCACGTTAAAAAAATAAACACTACCTCGCGTTGTCTCAATTACATTTACACACTGCCTCCAAAACTTTCGGCCGTCATAAAAAATGCCTCCCATGGCCGAAACTGTTATTACGACACCTGCCGGGCCGGGGCTAGTAATTTAGCATGCTAATTTAGGTTCATATCTCGGCAGCACTGTAACTTTTCAGTTTTTTAATGACATCATTGCACTTATTTCTTCTCATTGTTTTGATGCGTGTAGCTCATTTTTTTGATATTTTTACCTCAATTATTCCATATGGCACCTTTAAAAAATAAACACTACCTCACGTTGTCTCAATCACGTTTACACACTACCTCCAAAACTTTCGTCCATCATAAAAAAAATCGTATCGGGTTCGATTTTCTGCATTTTTCACATCCGTAGATCACCATTTTGAAAGGTGTTTTGACAATTCAGAGTCAAAGAATGACGAATACAAAAAAAAAACACAAACGAAAATTTTGGATTCATCGACATCCTTCTCTGTTTGATTTTCTTGTACGTTCTCCTTCAGCCTGCTGAGTCTCACTCTTCTGCCTGTAAAAGCTTTTGGAAGCGCTGCCAGGGGCTTTTTGGTAGTTTAAAGCAAAAGAAAAAGATTTACCGACACAGTGCAGAAGAGGTAAATACGGTTGGTCGGTGACCCTGCATGAGAAAACAAAACGTGCTGTGTTTGTGTGCATGAGGACTGACTAACACCGTGATCTTCAGAAGAGAAATCATCTCATCATGTCATTTAACCCTTGTGCATCCTTATGGACATTTTTGTCCTTTTCAGTTTTGTTTTTTTGATCACTTTGCCTGTGTTAAAGCTAACTGCAAAAAACTTGGCACAGGTGTGTATTTTTATTGGAATTTTACTATTTCACCGTCATTTTCTTAAAAAAAAATTTTTTTTTGCATTAGGTACAAAAAATACTCCCTCTCAGCACCTTTTGGACAAAAATGTCCCCATTGAAACCCATTAAAAGTGCCATTTTTAATCCCCGGTTCAGTTAACTATAAAATTATGCAATCTTTGTTAAGAGGCTTTCATTCTGATGGCAAGGCTTCAAAATTTTATTTTTTACTATTTTTTATCAGATGGTGTCGTTTTTTTTAAGTTTGTCCAATAAAACAAATATCGCTTTATTCCTTGTTTTGCTGGCACCCAATGGGGAAAATATGTTACTACGCCCAAACAAACTGTTACCGAAAGCTCATTTTTTGAGATATCATCCTCAAATTTGGAACACAGCCTATTTAGATTTATGGCTTTGATTTTATTGCAGTTTTGAGTTCAACCTGATTTATAAAATGTATATTTTATGTAAAATATTTTTTATAAATAATTTTCATAAACTTACACATTGGATTTACTTATTATTATTTTTTTACTTCAGCATCTTTAAAATGATACCAAACTTAAGTCTGTGCTCCAAAGCATCACATTTTTATGACAGTTTTTTGACATGGACATTTTTGTCCTCTTTTTACCTATGTGTAACTTTTTTTTTAATTGATGCACAAGGGTTAAAAAAGAAGCATTAAAATCGTAGTATAATAGTATGCTATTCTGAAAAAGAGCCACTGGCCTGATCATTTGTTTGTTTGGAAAGAGACTTTGATGGAAGACGAGTCGCTGTGGTTTAGGGGAGATTGCAAACGGGTATAGGCAGGTAATTGAGGAAATTGCCACTTCCACTGCCAGTATATAGGAAGCATTAGAAACCAAGGCAAGAAACTCTTCCAAGACACACATAAAGCCTCATTTCAAACATTCGAGTTGTTTACAAAACTGTCTTTGGGAAAGTTTTGAAAGTAATTGCAACAAAAATAAAAGTGTGTTTTTCTTGGAACGGTTACAGGGGCTTCAAAATATAGTAGCATATAGTAAGTAGCCTTACATGGATTTTTTGCAGTATCCTAATTTAGGGTCTGTGTAGACTTCAGTCAGTAGTAGATGTTATTTTAGAAATTTTGTCCACTGTTGTATAGCTCTCAGATGTTTTTGATAAGGCTTGTGTGAAGCTGTCTAGTTGCTGTCATGGCATCATGGCAATCTAATCGAAACATGTATGTCATCCATAAGACATCTGTAAATTAAGCGATTTCTGAGAAACGGTGTTGAGAGTGGATCGGACCGATCACCAAAGACACTTTCAGTACAAACTACAAACTGTTCAAAGGGCTTTAAACGATTCCAGACGATGAATAAGGGTCTAATCAAGCGAAATGATCGCTCATTTAATAAATAAATAACAAAGTTTAAGTTTTATAAGCTCAAATGCTCGCCTTGCTCTATTCTGACGCACGTTTGTGACTCTCCTGTTCGAACTCGTTCATCAAGACGAACGAATCTTTTTCCGAGTCAATTCGTTCGATGAATGAACAAAATGACTCGTAAAAAGATTCGTTCATTTTGATAAACGAGTTCGAACACACGTGCGTCACAGAACAGAGAAAGACGAGCATTTGAGCTTATAAAACTTAAAGTTTGTTATTTATTTATTAAATGAGCGATCCTTTCGCTAGATAAGACCCTTATTCATCGTCTGGAATCGTTTAAAGCCCTTTGAACAGTTTCCTTTTAAGGGAATGTGATATGACGCTCTGATTGGTTTGTTTCCGTTACGCCCAAACCACACCTATGAATAATGAAGCTACTTCAGGCCAACCCCTTTTAAACTCGCGTCTGGCGCACGAGTCATTTATCCCGCTGGTAAAATAGCAACAGCGCCCAAGACCCGCCCACAAAGTTACTTGATACTTGCGTTTCAGATTGTTAAAATAAGGCCCATGGTGTGTTCATGAATTTGGGGGTGGAGCTATCAAGGTAGGGCGTGTTTCAAATATCAACAGCATTTCTCAGAAATCACGTACTGCACCTTTAAGACGAGATATATACTCTAAAATTAGTGTTTCACATTTTCTGAACTTACACAATAACATGAGGAACAGAGCAAAGGTTTAGTCTCTATTCTGCTCCGTCATTACAAAAGAGTCTGAAACCAGCAGAGGCCAGGGGCTTTTATTAGATGTAAAGATATGCTGCAAATCGGTTGTTTTAATCAGATATGCATGTACGGAGAGAGACAGAGGAAGCAGAGAGGTGATAAGATGCATGAAGTAGAGTTTTTCACTCTTACGTAAGCTATCTTTAAGCCTGATGACAGCAGTGCTGTGCTGAGATGTGACCTCACCCTTCGCTTCCCATGATCGCTGAGTTTTGAAATGGCTCCCAGCAGGAGTGGGGGGTGCTGGAGAAATTTTGATGTGAACTTTCTAGAAGGCCCTCCTGACTGGCCTGTGTGATTTATGGTCTGGGGCTGCCAGAGAAGCACAAGATTAGTCACGGGGTGAAAGGTCAAGCCATTACAGCTGTGTATGACGACATGTTTAACAGCAGATGATTCTTATTAAAATCCAGAGTAAAACAAAACTGTGCTTGTGGAGTCATGCTAGTGTTCTTTGGTGTGTGTTCATGTAAATCTAATGGAGTGTCTGCTTCACAGAAATGCTGTGTATTCAGATACTAAAACACTTATTTACACAAATGATTATACAAATGATCATTTTTGTGCAGCAGTGTTTGAATTATGAATTGCACTGGCCATAAAACGTTTTTGGATACTTAAGCCACACTTAAATATGAATGTCATTGCATAAGATGATAAAGATAACACAAGCATGGTCCAAAATGAAGACACGATGTGGTTGTGAAACACGAGTGAATGTTGATAGTTAATGTGATGAGCTGCACCTGTATGAACTCGACAATAGTGCTGGGTAATTTCTCGATATTATTGGATTCTCATTTTTACGAACCGACATCGATTCTTAAATCTCAAGAATCGATTAGTCATCCTGTTTCATTTGAATGAATGGGACATTATATCGCGGCTGCGCGCATCCAAAAAATCGCAATAATCTTTGTCCTTTGTTACTATTGATATGAAACAAAGTCTCAATTTTCAAATTACGTCCATTTTCTTTAGAAATTCAAAAACATAAATAACGTTTTGGCGCTGTGGCGTGAGATCGCTCTGTCGCAGCTTTTAAGAGAAGCAGCAGCGCTGATCTCTCTTCCGGGTTAATAATACCAGTCACAGCGCCAAATAAACATGAATGAGCATCTGAAAGTGTGTTAAAAGAGAGAGTACAACTTATCGAAATCCGGATCATGTCACATTGATTCGCTCAATCAGCGTTTCAACCGTGGAAAGACGTCAGTTAAACAGCTTGTAATCAATGTCATGTATCGTCATATTTACCTCAGAAAACCCACATAAACTCGTTAGTCAGCTAGAAAAGAAAAACTCCAGAGAGGAGCATTTTGCTAAATATATACACCATATTACATATGCATTATAATCTTAATGTTCTTCAATATTTAATGGAGTTTTGAATAAATCTGTCAAGTTTTTATGACAGCCACCATTTAAATGTTTATATTTCATATAATCTTCTTATTATAAAAATAAATAAAAGTGTAATTTAAGTGTTTGTATAGCTACAAAACAGTTCATTATTACCTTCATATTAGGCTAATGAAGTCTATAGGCTACAACTAGACTCCCATAGTTTACAGCATTTAAGAGATTTGATTCCCTTGAGAAAAATGGCCATTTATTGTAACTGATATCCAAAATAATCAATATCGAATCGTAATCGAAATTGTGAAATTTGTCTCAATACCCAGCCCTACTCGACAATAACTGATTTCATGCATGCATGAAAAATGACCTAGTGACCAGCAACAGTTGTTTGCATATGCCACTTCATAACTTTTATGTAATGCAATGACATTCATGCATTTTTTTATAAGTGACCTAACAATCCAAAATATTTTTGGACCATTGCACATCCGATAATTAGCATGATGGTGTACTTTGTATTGAAGCGTGACACTTATGCATGCAAAACACTTCATGCATGGGAGAAAAAAGTGTTAAAATAACAGACTAAAGCAATCTTTTCATTTCGTTTTAGGTAAGTACTTACTTGCATGTTATGGAAAACAACACGGCAGTAGCCCCAGTGTATGAGAGTATGACCCTACCCCGAGACAAAGCCCGGTGGCCCTCATCCTCCCCTTGCACCTCTCCATACCCCTCGACCTCCACAGAAGAACACGCCAACAACAACCCCTCTGTTCATCTCTTGCCCAAGAACGGCAACATCTCAATCTTCAGCAGCCTGAAGAGGAAGAACAAGAAGGGGAAGAAGGAGAAAGAAGACCGTAGACACACCATTCAGAAGATCATGGGAGAAAGAGTGTCAGAAGAGGCTTGTTTGCCACCTCTACATGAACCAGTCGTATATGATACGCACACTTGGCCCATGAAGGAAAGGAAGAAGCGGAAAAATGCAAGAAAACCAAACAGCGATCAGACTCAGGTCTCGGACTACATGAAGAACCCTTTGGTGAAAGACATAGATGCAGAATGTTCTGGAGAGGTTCATCACACCTTAGAGGTCGCCACCCACGGACATGTGAAGAACCACTGCCGATTTCTGTCCTTGGGCTCGGTGTTGAGCTTCGACCTGCCCAAGGATATGAGCCTCATCCCTAGCATTCAAGATGTCATTACAATTGGCCCTCCCGAGCAAAAGAAGACAGACTCTCAACACCAGCACTCTCAGGTTGATCGTCCAACACCCCTGAGCACCTTTAAAACGGCCCGCTCACCTCCGACGCAAAAAGAAAAGTCCAAACAAACTTCTCCAGGTGAAGTAATCCTTAAGATTGATTGTAAAGACTCCAATTCATTCACTGAAGATGAATTTCCTCCTCCACCTTCTCCAGTCATTGAACACATCTCATTTGAGGAGAATCATCCCTCATTACTCCAACAGAAGCACCTATCTGGGATAAGTACAATGCCCAAAGAAGAGGTGGATAGTTGGGACACAATGGGAACTAAACTTGACGACAAAGAAGACCACTATGTAAGTCCTCCAGAAGATGCAAACCAAGGGATTTCCAATCATGGCTCGACTACAGCAGAGATTCATGTATGTCCTAGCATCCATACCTTGGTTCACACTCTTAATAGGTCAACAAAGACCTCAAGCACTCAATTGAGTCCAAACCATGCATCTCAGGTGGTGTTTAACTTTAGAGCCAATGGAAGAGAGGACTCGGTGGACTCGGGTCACTCCAGTTCTGGAAGTTTCAAGTTGTGTTCAGAGGGTTTGTACGTAGACTCCTCAGAGTGTCCAGTTCCCAAGAGGACCATTGGGAAGGTACAATCCCTGGATTCAGGAGTCTCCAACAGGAACTTAGAGTTCTCCAAAGACAAAAGCCTTACTTTATCAATTGACGTTGAGGATCCTGTTCATCCTGACCACCAACAGTTTGAGCTGGAAGAGGAGGAGCTGGAGGACATCTGGAACCACACCAACAGCTACCGACAGAGTCTAAACTCGGACATCATGTATAACGGCTACCAGGCTTTGACAGCAACCTCTTCGCCAGACCAGCATAGGGAACCCTCCCCCAAAGAACAAGCAGGACTCTTCAGAAAGTTGGTCACCGCCTCCGCACCCAACCTTCTTGTGGCGGAGTTTCGACTGCCACCGTCTGTCCAGTCTGTGGTGGGTTGTGGGAAGCCGCAGAACTCGGTGGAAGAATGGCAAATTCTGGATAAAGGGGACAGAAAGTCATGGGCCGCATTCACTCAACGGGAACAGGTTTACAGACAGGTGGCCGTTAACGAAACCGCTTCAGATCCGGTGAAACTACCCGAAATAGAGGACCAGCAAAAGTATATCTACCATTATAGGGAGGAGGAAGAGGAGGAGGAGGAGAAGGAAACAGGGTTTATGAAGGTGAGGTCTACAAGTTGGCAATTGATCCTGTCAAACCCTGTCGTGTCCAATCCTGCTTCTGGAGGGCCAATGTCCTGCAGAGGTTAGCTCCAAGCCCAATTAAACACATCTGAACCAATGATATCAAGGTTTACTAGAAACATCAGGGTAGGTGTTTGGTCAAATTAGAGCTAAACTCTGCTGGATGTTGGCCCTCCAGAATTGGACACCCTTGGTTTTAAGTAGTTGAGCTGTTGACTTGTGCTGCCTTCACAACATGTCAGAATGATTTTTATGAGATGAGCACCCATGAACGCAACCACTGTATCAGCAGTGGGCTTAGGACTTTCTTTAAGGCCAGAAAATGCTACTTAATTTGGCTGATTTATAGGGCTGGGTAATAAATATCGATTTCTCGATATTAATCGATTCTCATTTTTACGAACCGACATCGATTCTTAAATCTCAAGAATCGATTAGTCATCCTGTTTCATTTGAATGAATGGGACATTATATCGCGGCTGCGCGCATCCAAAAACTCACAATAATCTTTGTCCTTTGTTACTATTGATATGAAACAAAGTCTCAATTTTCAAATTACGTCCATTTTCTTTAGAAATTCAAAAACATAAATAACGTTTTGACGCTGTGGCGTGAGATCGGACTCGCGCAGCTTTAAGAGAAGCAGCAGCGCTGATCTCTATTCCGGGTTAATAATACCAGTCACAGCGCGAAATAAACATGAATGAGCATCTGAAAGTGTGTTAAAAGATAGAGTAAAACTTATCGAAATCCGTATCATGTCACATTGATTCGCTCAATCAGCGTTTCAACCAGTGTTGTAGTACTCGAGACTCGGACTCGGTCTCGAGACCATATTTTAATGGTCTTGGTCTTGTCATGGACTCGTGTCCATTTGGACTCGGAATTGACTCGTACTCGAACATTTTTTTTTTTAGGACTCGGAATTATTCCCGAGTCCACTCGAGTTCAATTCAAAATATTTTTCATGATTATTAATGTATGTGAATAAAATATTTCTTTAAATTGATTGACACGCCCAGTGATTGGTGATTTTCTAGTGCGCAACTGCGCATGACAAATTGTAATAAAATTACTTTTAACACCACCTACTATGTGGCCTTTTTACCCTAAACTGATCATATTTTTTAAACTCTAAGTAAATTCAGTCAAAAAAAAAAAAGGATTTCTCTAAGTAAATAAAAGTAAATTAGGTAATCAACCCTCACTGGTCTCGGTCTCGACTCGGACTCGACCGTCTCTGGTCTCGGACTCGACTCTCTGTGGACTCGGTCTTGACTCGGACTCGACTCTCTCTGGTCTCGGTGTCGACTCGGACTCGAGTGAGGTGGTCTCGACTACAACACTGCTTTCAACCGTGGAAAGACGTCAGTTAAACAGCTTGTAATCAATGTCATGTATCGTCATATTTACCTCAGAAAACCCACATCAACTCGTTAGTCAGCTAGAAAAAAATAACTCCAGAGAGGAGCATTTTGCTAAATATATACACCATATTACATTATAATCTTAATGTTCTTCAATATTTAATGCATATTTGAATCAATCTGGCAAGTTTTTATGACAGCCACCATTTAAATGTTTATATTTCATATAATCTTCTTATTATAAAAATAAATAAAAGTGCAATTTAAGTGTTTGTATAGCTACAAAACAGTTCATTATTACCTTCATATTAGGCTAATGAAGCCTATAGGCTACAACTAGACTCCCATAGTTTACAGCATTAGTTAAGAGATTTGATTCCCTTGAGAAAAATGGCCATTTATTGTAACTGATATCCAAAACAATCGATATTGAATCGAATCGTAATCGAAATCGAATTGCAAGCTTGTGAATCGAAATCGAATCGAATTGTGAAATTTGTCTCAATACCCAGCCCTACTGATTTATGAGGTGACGGGTTACATTTCCCATTATTCGGTGTATATATATATAAAATATATATATAAGAAAATGTTCTTCATTTTGTTGCTTTTGCACTAAAAGGCTGAAGTAGGATCTTCCCAGAAGGATTGAGGTTTTTGGGGGGGTTGGAGTGTTTGACTTCAAATAAAGTTGTGGCCAACTCATTCCATATCATTATCCACATTGTTGTTGTAGTTATTATTAGTGCCGTTTAATCTGTTTTTGTCACGGTACTTAATGCATTGATATGTGTCTCCTCTCTCCACAGGACCAGTCCATGAGCCTCCTGTCTGTTCATATGGGATTGGATTGCACCAATGACTCTGATATCCAGGTACACAAAAGTTAAATTGGAGACCATACCAAAAGTTTCTATGATATTTACTTACAAGTCTGCTTTAAAGTTCTTCTGAATATTGAGAAATACAAGACATTACTGTATCTATTCGTTGTGAAATAATGGTTGTTAACTTTGACTGATCTTTTTCAGAGTGGAAGACAAGACCTGGAACTGCCGTCTATGGAAGGTACACTGGAGAGGAAACACAAACTACAGCTGGGTGGAAAGAAGGTAAATATCACAACTACAGATATTTTCTTCACATAGACCAAGACAAGTGTCCATTTTGTGTCACAGGTCTCGTGCTTTTACATTTGGTTTAGGTTATTTTGGTGCATTTTTGTTTGGTCTTTACCATTAAGCTTAATGTGCTATTTCAGGCACCATGCAGGACGTGGAACTCCTATCATGCTGTGCTGTACAAACAGACAATATGTTTCTATCAGGACAGGAAGGATGCACTCAAGGTAAGCTTGAAGACTTCATGATCTGGCTTTGCAGAAGTTCCTATATTGTAAATATCATTAGTTATAATTAGGGAAGCCACCATACCGGTATCGGCCGATATATGTTCATTTTTAATGTAATCGTTTTCAGCCCAATAAGAAATTTACGGCGATTTATTAAAGCCGATAAATAAATGTATTATTTCCTTCAGCTGAGACACTTCAGATGCAAGCTGGTGCCTATGATGGTTTTGAATTGCTTTAACCCTAAAACCGTATTCTGGACAAATGTGGGCAAAATAGTTTTGATTTATTTTAGGGCTGTGCAAAAATTAATTGCGATTAATCGCATCCAAAATAAAAGTCTGTGTTTACATAATATATTTGTGTGTGCTGTATATGATTATTTTGTATAAATAAATACCTATGCATGCATGTATATATTTAAGAATTATTTGCGCTTAAATTCTGTATATATATAAATACATAATCTATATTATATAAATATAAATATTTTATATATGAATAACACATTTTCTTAAATATATACATGCATGTGTGTGTATTTATATATACAAAATAATTATATACGGCACACACAAATATATTATGTAAACACAGACTTTTATTTTGGATGCGATTAATCGCAATTAATTTTTGCACAGCCCTAATTAATTTTTTTAAAAATACTTCCCTTGATCTGAGCGGTACAAGACTTGGCTACTTTTCCTAAGTTTGCCTTTCTGAACACACACATTTTTTGACTCAATTCCACAATGTTAAGTGGGTGAAAAAAAAACTCCTTAATCTTGTATTTGGGTCAAAAATGGGCACCCATAGAAATGAATGGGAAAAACTGTAATTTAGAGCATTCGAAAATAAGCCAAAATAAGACACCAGGTGACGGCAAAGTCACTTCATCTTTAGGTTTAGAACTTATTGGAATGATATTTTAATGTAGTAAAAAAATGTAAAAAATAAAACTTAAAAATAAGCATAATTTACATAGAAAATATGGTACTTTTTGAAGTAAATAAATTCAAAAATACCCCCAAAATAAAAAAAAAAATACCATAAATGGATAGACAAAACTTTATCAAAGACGGTGATATAACATTTATAATAAATAAAAATTAGGATCACACCTGAGTCCTCTGTGCCCACATTTGTCCACAATTACAGGATTAAGGGTTAAATACGATTGGAATCACTTCATGTGCTGTCATATAAGCTACAATTTGGATTTAGATTTATCTGCCAAAATATCGGTTATCAGTTTTCAAATATAAAGAGTTATCGGTATCATCCAAATTTTGTCATATTGGTGCATCCTGTTAAATTGTGATTTGAATTACATTCAATGGCAGCTGTAAAGCAGCTAAGGATATGAGTTAGCCAAAACGAGTCTATATTTGTACCCTATAGAGCTGTGTGACGAGCCTTCCTCTCAACCTAATTGGAGCAGTGTGTGAACCGTCGCCGGAGTACACCAAAAAACCCAACTGCTTTTGCTTGAGGTAAATGATGAACAGCTAAAGAGTTGTTTTAGTTAACAGATGGAATCGCTTCACTTGTTTTACCATTTTACCTCAGATTGCACGATGGATCTGAGTATCTCCTCAGTGCCTCCTCACGGTTTATGATGAAGAAATGGATCCTCAGAATCCAGGCACACACTGGTATTATACCATTTACTATCTGTCTGTCTTTAATAGTCTGTTTTTGCAGCCATATTCAAGCGAGATCCTCTCTCTCTCTCTCTCTACAGCGTCCAGTGATTCTGTAGCGAATAGATCGACGTGTCGTGGGTCTTCAGCTTCAGCGACGCTCTCTAGACACTCTCCTCCTATCTCAGACTGTCAGTTTGGAGATAAATGTCACTGCTCTGTGAGAAATTATGTCACCACCACGGTTTTAGCACAGAGTCAGCCTACCTCAAGCCGAACCAAAGAGATCATAGTGCACACCGGTGACGCGCTGCAGATCCAGCAAACGCATCGGGATCTGCTGCTCCCCACATTCACAGATGCAGGTCATTCTGGTAAGAAACTGTGTGAAGAATGGAGGAAATCAGCTCTATATAGCTATATGTCCATCCATCTAAATCTATCTACAGTATCTATATCTATCTGTCCATCCATCTAGATCTATATATTGATCCATCCATCCATCTAGATCTAAATTTCAATCTGTCCATCCACATAGATCTGTCTATTGATCTGTTCGTCCATCTAGATCTATATATCGATCTGTCCAGCTATCTAATATATATATATGTGTATATATATATATATGTGTGTTTAACTTTTTTATAGTGAAATTTATTTGCTGTAGTTCATTACCATTATATTATAAATTACTCAAATTTATATTTATTTATTTATATTTTTAGTAGGGCTGTGCAAAAATTAATTGCGATTAATCGCATCCAAAATAAAAGTCTGTGTTTGTTTACATAATATATTTGTGTGTGCTGTATATAATTATTTTGTATATATAAATACCTATGCATGCATGTATATATTTAAGAATTATTTGCGCTTAAATTCTGTATGTATATATATATATATATATATATATATATATGAAGAGTTCAGATGCAAAAGCCTCTAAATGCCATTTGAAATTTTCTTCTTTAATGATGATTTTTGTCGAACTTGTATATTTAAGTTCAGTAATTTCACTTAAATAACAATTAATAGGTAATTATCATTGCCATTTAAGTGAAATTACTGAACTTAAATATACAAGTTCGACAAAAATCATCATTAAAGAAGAAAATTTCAAATGGCATTTAGAGGCTTTTGCATCTGAACTCTTCATATATATATATGCATAATCTATATTATATAAATATAAATATTTTATATATGAATAACACATTTTCTTAAATATATACATGCATGTGTGTGTATTTATATATACAAGATAATTATATACAGCACACACAAATATATTATGTACACACAGACTTTTATTTTGGATGCAATTAATTTTTTCACAGCCCTAATTTATAGTTGAATTTCATAAACCCTCATTGTTATTGTTCCAGAAAAATGGCTCAGAGTGTATTATAAAATTTGTCATTTATAATAAATGTGTATACATTGTTATTTCTTCGATAAGTAGCTTCAAAGTAGTTAGTTAAAAAAAAAAAATTCTTAATCAGTATTTTGCCTTGTTGTCGAAGGAATTTTTAAAATAAATATCTAATTTATCTTAAGTATTTAAAAGCATACATAAGATAAATTTAGCTTTTAGTTTGACAGTCGCTTCCTCAACACTGGCCACTAATGCATGTAATAAATAAATAATATGTAAGACAAATGTTTTAGACATCCAAAAGAGGGCAGTAGAGGACTCTAAGTTGAACATGAGCCGAGCTTCACGCAGACGTTATGAGGCATGGTCACATCTGTTTGCTGTCAGCGGATTTCTATTTCTGGAGAAGCACTTCTATTCAGCGCTCTGGATTTTGTCATTTCCACCTTGGTCACATTATTTCTCACCTCCAGTACTTTGTTACTCAATTACACTGTCTGCCCTTGTCCTGTAGAGGTTGAATGGTTCATGTTCTGTTTTTTCTCTGTAGAGGATGAGTTTGAGTCTCATGACGAGTCTCTGAGACAGAAGTTGTCCTCTATGTCCAGCATTCAGGGCTGGACCGGTGAAAAGAGACGCTCACACTCCTTTACCTCAGGTATAGCCACTGCACTCACAACATTTGCCATGTAAACAGGTCATTCTTGTGAAACGGTGCTATATAATGCTGTTCAGTTGTGTCCAAAAGTCATAGGAAAATTTACATCTTCACCCTTTATTCAAATGTTATCAAAAATGTGTTAAAGGGATAGTTCACTTTGAAATTAATTTTTGGTGTGTTTTATCTTACCTCAAGGGCATCCAAGATGTAGGTGTCTTTGTTTCCACAGTAGTTTCAATTTTGATATTTTTCGTATAATTTTTAATGATCAAACCGTTCTTGTCTGTCAATCATATAATGGAGGTCTATGGTCACCACCTCAAAGAGCATGCACAGAGAAGTCCAAATTAAACATGATTTAATGACTCGTAAATGTAAGTACACATTGATGGCCTAAGACACGAAACGAGCGGTTTGTGTGAGAAAACCAACAGTATTTATATCGTTTTACCTCTTGTTACCACAGCACAAAGCTCAGATCACTTGGACGTGGCTGTGGTTACAAGAGGTAAAAACGATGTTCGTTTTCTCACACAAACCGCTCGTTTCGTGTCTTAGGCCATCAATGTGTACTTACATTTACGAGTCATTAAATCATGTTTAATTTGGACTTCTCTGTGCATGCTCTTTGAGGTGGTGACCATAGACCTCCATTATATGACTGACAGACTAGAACGGTTTGACCTAAAAATATCAAAATTTAAAATACTGTGGAAACAAAGACACCTACATCTTGGATGGCCTTGAGGTAAGATAAAACACACCACAAATTTATTTCAAAATGAACTATCCCTTTAAATAAGCTCAAGCATATCGCATATTTGAGCTTGGAGTCAATTGTTTTATTTGTGATAATGACGTGCTAATTGTGCTGACATCATTTTTGGCCAGGCTGTCATAGAAATTATGAACAACAAAACATTAATAACTAATTATGTTGCAGTCAATGCAAGCTTTCTGTTTATCTGTGCTTTTTTTGCATAGTAAAATAAGGCCTGTTGCTGTAATTAATCAAGTATAGTCTTTTGCTCTTCACTCATATTTAAGATGTTTTAAAATATAAAACATTTCCCTTGTATTTTGATAGTTTAATCGAACTTATAGGGTCATTAAAAACAAATATCACTTTTTGCCACTACTGTATATTCGCATTAATGCATGATATGACAGATGCTATTATCCAAAATAAACATTTAATGTTTACCATGAGCTACTCTTGGCTACAGGAAAGCTATACAATGACTACAACATAATCATATTGATGTTTATTTTGTTGGCTCTCTCTTGTTTTTGCATTTGTTCATGATTTCTTTGTATGACAGCCTGAGCATAAATGATGTCCCACAAAATTTGGCATGTTTCACTGCGTTATTATCACAAATAAAACTGATTTTTTACTCCTATTTGAATAAAGCGTGAAGATGCATTGTAGTCTATGAATATATATGAATATAAACACTGATATCTGTCCACACAGCCACTTATAAGAGGATAAAGCCTGTAGCGCCCCCTTCAGGCAAAGGCCAGGACAGCAGCTCCAGCTACTCGGTGACTTTATTCATCGGAGATAGAGAGATGCCGTCGGTCTGTGGAAGCGCAGCGATGGCCGACGAGTCCTTCTCCGATCTGCCCATGAGGAGCTACATGAGCCTCCCGCGGCCTCCCAACAAATCCGTCTTCAGGAAGTTCTTTGGGAAAAAGGAGTGACTGACACTTTCTGACTGACATGTGCAGGACACAAGTTAAACGCTTCTGAAAAACTTCTTTCTTACAATTTATTTATGGATTTGATGGCGAGAATCATTTTTAAATGAGATCTTGTATGATTGTTTAATATTCATTCCTTCAACCGTTTTGATATCGGCCTTTGAAATGTACTCAAAAAACCAACATGACCCTTTCTTTCATGGAACATTATATTTACATTTATGCATTTAGCAGATGGTTTTATCCAAAGCAATTAGTCACAGAGCCAATGATATTCATGCCAGGTTTATTAGATTCAAAGAGGAGAAAATGCAGAGAAGACAACCCTGGAATAACAGTTCATAATTTCGGATGACAAAAAGCAATGCATATGACTTGTCCATCATATTTTAATTGCTCTAAAGTCATAAAACAGCTTTGACTTGTGTGAGAATCTTCCCTTGGTGCTTTTTTTTTTGTCATTTTTTAGAGCTTGACTCTGAGCGTCATGTAAAAGGGGTGTCCAGTCATTCTGGAGGGCGACGATCCTGCAGAATTTAGCTTCAACTGTGTGGATATTTTTAGCAATCCCAGACGCTTCATTACCTGGTTCAGGTGTGTTTAATTAAGCTTGTGGAGCAAAACTCTGCAGGAAAGTGGCCCACTGGATGAAGAGAGTGAGATATTTGAGTTTACAACATCCAAAGGGTGAGTTGAGTCTCATTTATTTTTTTCTCATGCTAAAAGTTCCTTATTCGCCATTGTTGTTTTAAATGTGCATTAATGAGTGAGGTTTGCTGTGGACATGGTGACAGCTGCCATAATGAATCTACTGATACGAGACTTGTGATATGTAATGTGTTCAGTGTTTCCACCATATTCCAGTTGAGGTGGTCTGATGTGTTTTCATTTGGACTGGATCGCAATAATCAATCTAGTCATTGTTTATTTTTTATTAGGTTTTGGCACATATTATTTGTCAGCTTGTCATGTTTTTTCTGTGTTGGTTTGAGTTCTGTGTGGTCTTGCTGGGTAAGTTCACCCAAAATTATGTCATTCATTTATGCATTTTTGGGCAAACTATCCCTTTAACATGTGTATTTCCAAACTAAACATTTGATTCACATATTCTAGTGTTGCTTTCGGTATTTAAACTAATGCATTGTGTCGTGCGTTTTAGAAGGAGGTTATATGATGATCATATGATGCTTATAGTTTTGATATTGGTGGCCTGGGTGTTTATGACCAATTGTACACACATTTAAACTTGTAATGCATTATTTTAGGACTATGCTAAAAAAAAGAAAAAAGAAAGAAAAAAATGGTGTTTTGTGGTTAATGATGTGGCTGCACTGGTGATCATTTTATTAAGTGATATACATACATAAACCATGCAATTATGAGAGTCTAAAACTAATTCAGACAGGACTAATCATATATAGCCTACCAACTGTCTATGGACATAACAGTGGAGTATTTTTGGATGGATTATCGGACTGACAATATTTGGAAGCATTTTTATATAAAGTTGTAAAATTAGCTAAATGTATTCTTTATAATCATATAGGATGAGAACAGTGGACACCGCCTTCGTCTGAGATAAATCAATGGCAGCAGCTTCTCATAGTAAAGAAATTCGCTGTTTGTTTGTTTGATGCCTCATGCCTGGGCACACAATCACCTCCAATTCAACACACCCTCGTCCTTCCCTCTCCGGTGGGGATTTCAAAAGCGCTGATATGCCAGCAACTACAAACAAACAGTAAGAAATCCTCCACAATAATCATTAAAACTGAGCGGAGGGGATCTGAGCCTTCCGGCTCAAACCCAAACCCTCAGAGGTCGATACTGGGCTCGTGAGTTTGCATATGAAAAGCTGTTATGGCTGGAAGCTGGATGCCAATCCTTTTAAGCTTTCAAAGAGTCTCCGCATACATAATTGGTGAGTATTTCACGTTGAAATGATAATAAGAGATGGTACAGTCGCCACTCGAAATGAAGCGCGAAAGGATGCTAAACAAAAGGATCCGTGGTAAATCCGAGCTGACAGAGGGGGGTGAAAGTGCTCAAACAATGGCTTTCACCACACGGTCAATGTCGGATTAGAATGCATTAAGTACTCGAAATGTGCCAAGTGCAGATTTTTTAATGGACCGTGTAGCATCGTTCAACAGCGGCTCCCATCATGCAATACGATATCCAGTCAGGTACGAAAAAAAGAGAAACGCTTACACGCGTAGGCTAGCTATTGCTTCTGATACAGTAAAACGAAAAGCAAATGCTTAAATATTGGTCACACAAGCATTAAAAAAGCATTAGGTCATTTTAAAAATTGTGGGCTTTCAGCTTTCAGCATTATTAATGATGTTTGCCTGTAGACTGTCTTCCACAGAAAGCTCGCGTATAGGCCTAATTACAACGATTTATTTTATTTATTTATTTTTAATGTATGTTTATAACACTATACGTTTTATTACATATTACCTTTGCACCAAATTACAAAAAAACAACAACAACAACAAAAACATGTTAACGCTGCTTTTTAATACAGTGAGTGGAAGGAGTGACGATAAAATTGACATAGGCTATTTCTCTTTTCCAACTGCCTTTATCTACCTTTTTAGATATTTGACACGTCTAAGTTAATTGAAAAGAAAATGAAGTTAATCGAGAAGAGTTTGTTTACTGACCAAAAGAGAGAGACCAAAACATCCCGTAAAAAATTAGTGTAGGCTAATGTTATCCTCCTAACTATAGTTAGTCACAGAATTGTTATTCATTTTTTTTTAAGTCTGTGAATAAAATTTATATTGTAAAAAATCCATATTGATATTGTGTTGAAGTCTTTGTTATTTTGCGCTTAACATAAAATCTGTGACACAAGTATATTAAAGTAATGTTACGGGAAGGTTAGTGGAACCTAAGATAACATTATATTTCCGTAACGAAATCATTCCTGGCTAACTAAAAACAAACGTTACAAATAGCCTACATGTTTCGGGAATGTTCCCATTTCACACAAAAAATGTTAGATGGGAAGCAATCGCCTACAGTTAGCAAGTTAGTAACACGCTAAAATCACTCAACACCTTAGCAACGCCCTTGTAACCACCTGGAATACTCTAGCAGCACCCTAGCAACATGCTAAAACCACTCAGAAAACCTGCAAACAAGTCTCTTCTCCGTTGCATTTATTTGACCAAAACATTGTAAAAACAGCAATATGTAACTTTTAATTGTAATACATTTTAAAATATTATTTATTCCTGTGTATGCTTGACACCAGTGAGACAGGACCTTAATTAAACCCACTTCTCTGTCAATGACTCATTATTTCAATGAGTCAGTCGTTTATCCCGAGCGAAGTTTAGCGTTTCTGCTATTTTCCATTCACATCACATCTCAGTTTGATCCCTGACGCTCATAATGATTCAATGAAGAGTGAAAAACTCTAGTTTTCTGGACTTTTCAAAGAAGACAAACATCCCGCAGGAAAGTGAATCACAAATGAGATGTCCCCAAGATCAAAAAAATAGAGAGCATTTCTGCTTGATGTACGATGCATTAGCTCTCTACTCTTACTGTGTTGATTTTTATTCCTCCTAAGGAATTTTAGGAGAAACGTCTGAAGCAAGGATTGATGTTTAAAGGTCATATAGCAGGGTCCAAAAGTCTGGGGCCGCAGTCACTTTCTGATGGTCGTGGTGTCACTTTTACTCCATGATGTTGATAAATGAGCAGAGCCTGTTTAAAAAGGCCATTGACGTGTGTCATGACTCACGAGTCAATTACACTGATAAAAAGCCAACAATCGAAGTCTTTCTCTGCCGGTCATCAGAAGGGCAGAATCGGAGAGTATATCGGGTCAATGGCAGGGCAGAGGGACATGTGTCGCTTTCCCCGTGTCACAGAGGTCGTGACCCGCTCCTGTAGCATTGTCCCGCTGTCAACATTTGATCACGCCACAGGTCAAACTCACTTGACTGAAGAAATCAATGTGCGCTAACAGGCGTCTCACATTCTCAATAGTCTATATCGTTGCCTGAACCCAAAGAAACACATCATTTTTTATCAAGAAAAGTGTCCATATGCTCATCCAAAAACATTAACCCTTACGCCGTGTTGAAAACCCTGAAATCACCAAAAATCATGATATTATCACCAATTATTGGATTCAATATTTTTATAATTCTTTTCCAATTAGGACAGGTTTTGTATTTATTGTTTAAACTGATTGATCTGAGGATAAAGTTGTAATAAGCCTATAATACTCTAACACTAAATAGTGTGTGTGTGTGTGTGTGTATTTGTGCGCACATAGTCTTATGTGAACATGAACTTGATGTACATGCTCCTGAACACTAAATGTTTCTCTTATTATTGATCTCCCCCATTCATTTTCAATGGTCAATCTTTTTCCGAGTCATTTCGTTCGTTGAATCAACCAAATGACTCGATTCATTCATTTTCATGAACGAGTTCAAACAGGAGAGTCACGAACAGAGCAAGGCGACCATTTGAGCTTATAAAACTTTAATCTTTTTAAGCTTATTTATTTTTTGCTTGATTAGACCCTTATGCATCGTCTGGTGTCGTTTAAAGCCCTTTGAACAATTTGTAGTTTGCACTGAAACTCTCTTTTGGACCTTGAACCGTTTGGACCCCATTGAAGTCCATTATATGTAGAAAAATCATGGAATGTTTTCATCAAAAACTTTAATTTCTTTTCGACTGCAGAAAGAAAGACATGGACATCGTGGATGACATGGGGGTGAGTAAACTATCAGCAAAAGTTTTTTTTTTTTTTTTAAGTGAACTACTGTACTCCTTTAAGCATCGAGTACGGGAAACACATCTCAGTTTGATTATCAGCTTTTGTATTTGAATGGTACTGTAATACTTGGTATATGGTGTTTGCAAAGCATCTGTGGTGAGTTAAATCTAGTTAGACTATCTAACTTTCAACAGGTTCCTCTTGTAATTTTAGTATGTTCTTTTCTGTGAGGGTTTGACCCGGTGTCATGGGAAACTCTCTGTCTAAATGTGTCCCCGAGGGCCGTTTCTGACCATCTCACTTGTTATTGTCACCATTGGCCGGAACCTCAGAGGTCACGACCTCTCTCAGTATTCACTGATTCATATGAGGCTGGAATCCTATATCCCGTCTCAGGGAACTAAGGATGTGTTTGTCAAACGGAGAAGAATGCTGAGAAACAAGAGCTCTTCTGAAGCAAACGTTTCATTATTGTGAAGAAATGGCTCTGCCAGTGTAGCATCGGTCTCAATTCTGTCGATTACTAAAGATAATTATTTCACATTCATGCATTTGGCAGATACTTTTAATCTAAGTTGGACATTTGACCTGTTATGAATTTCTAGGGATTTAAACCCGTGATTTTGGCGTTGCAAGCGTTGAGCTACAGGAAAACTTTTATTACCAGTTTGTATGACTGATGTTAGATTTTAATTCAGATTTGATATATTTGTTTGCAATATGAACTGATGGTAATATGGACTTTTAAGGTAACCCTCTAACTTAGCTAGTTCTTTTTATTGTTGGTATTTTATTCTATTTAAAGGGGAACTTGGTAACTTATTTAACATAATAAAGCTAATATATCTAAATATAGTGAAAAGAAGAAAAATAAAATAAATAGTGTGTGTCAGGTGTCTGAGTGTTTGTAGTCGTGTTCTGTGATGTGTGCTTTTCTTTTGCTCTTCCTCACGGCTTTGATGTGTGTGTCCTCAGGGATGAAACTCTACACGTGTGTTTTGATCACGGCTCTTTCACGGTGAACTTCAGCTCCTGTGGTCGGTCCTGTACTTTTGTTCTGCTCTCAGGTTAAAGGTTATCCAAACAAATTATTAAATGTAGAAATCTGATATAGACACCTTTATTGTCATTGCATGGTATACAACGAAATTTGACATCTCTCATAGAAAACAACTCTATTCATCCATATTACCCACAAATACCGTCATTCATAAAAACAATAAATTAAAACAATAAAAAGATAGCTTAAAATGGCTTAAGTGACTTAATGAGATTCATTATCTGAACATCCTCCTCCCAATGTTAATAAAACATCATATAAATTAATCAGATGGGCAGATTTGCTTTTATTTGAGCTGTAAATAATTTAAAAAATGAATGGAATTAATCTGAATTTGATTTGATTGCAAATAATTCAATACACAAACAAAGGGTTAACTGTGTAAAAAAGCAGTTTTGACTGTATTTCAGCTGTTAATCAATTAAAAACGAACTAAATTTATATAATTTGTATAATTGCAAATAATTCA